CTCTCTCTCTCTCTCTCTCTCTCTATATATATATATATATATATATATATATATATAATCGTTTAGTATAAAAAATATATTTTAAAAACTCTATAAATTGCCGATGATTGTAAAACGGAAATTTCCGATGATTGTAAAACGGAAATCATATCTTCCATGTCGTAAAATTAAATCAAAAAACAATACTAATTCGTTCAGGTATCGGAAATTAAATAAAAAAACAATACTAATACGTACAGTAAAAGGAAATTAAATCAATACGAACCAAATGCATGTATCCATTTTGCTTTATTCAACATATTTTATACTTTTGTATATTTAATACAAAAATAGTTTATATCTTCTACACGATAAAATACAAATGTACAAATCTATAAGATACATTTTGTGGCCGCATATTATGCAATTTTTTTGGAGTCTGCCAACAAAAAAGTAAATATTAATATTTCAATTCATCAATTAATTAAAGTTGGACGTAAAGATTAGAATTTACATTCCTATAAAATACTCAAAATCCTACACCATCCAATTTTTATTCCCTTTCAATAAGTTTATAATTAAAAGCCACTCTCAACAATTAAATTAATTGACATTAATATATATTAATTGATTCATATATATATAAATAACATATTTTATCAATTTCTCCAATTTCTGTCCATAAAAAAACGCATAGAACTTTCGAAAAATTATTAAAAAAAATGAGAGAGTTATTTGATACACTCCATGCTGTTAATAAGCAATTCTAATTATTGAGATGAAATTTGACGTGGAATCCAATAATTTTTTTGAGATCATCTTTCAAGATCGTGAGGTAATATTTTGATTTGTTATATCTGTATTACTAACATACGTAATTTTTTCATTTAACTTATTTTGTATAACTTCATATTGTAGGGTGCGCAAATAACTGTCATTATACATTTTGCGCATATGTGTGCATTTCGAGGTGTATTTAAGCAAGGCATATATATGCACTCATGAGGTTTTTAATAATGTATAATTTTTTGCCAATGAAGATTTTATGTTTACTTTATAAATGTCATAAATAACAACTTATTAATAAATGTCCTTTTTATTTTTTAAGTTTTTCCAAAACATGTACTAGCCCGTGCATCACACGGGTTACATACTAGTTAATTAATTAATTAATTAATCAAATTCAATCCTCTGCTTTTCCCCAGATTTACCCGAATTAAAGTTCCAAGTCAAAAGATACATACGGAGACACAAACAAATTAATGTACAAACAAATTCACGTTAGCAAATACAAAAACTAGAAAAAAAAATTATCGCGAACTCGAACCTCGTTTATGCTTCGGCTGAAGCTATCGGCTGGCGAAATCTGGGAGTTTCCGAAGCTGTTCATGAGCTTGCTCGTGACCAAAAGCATCGCTGGCATCGAGATCCCGTCCCCGAACGAGCCGACGAGCCCGAGCCCCATCAGTGCCATGTCAGAGCAATCGGCATGCATGAAAATCGAGCCGAACGATATCGTTCGGCTGCTCGTTTTTGGCTTCTTCTTCTTCTTCATCTGCTCCATAGCAGAGTTTGTGACCATGTGAAAGTTTTTTCTTTCTTTCTTTTTTTTCTTTTTTTTGGTGGGGATTTTGTGAACAGAGTTTTTTTTTCCCCTTTTTTGGGAAGAAGGATTTTGGTTGTGTGTTAAGTGGGTTGTTTGGGTGTGTGTATATATATAGAGAGAGGAGTTGGGAGGGAGGCTTTAGAGTGGGAAAATCATACACTGCAAAATTAGATAATTTGGGTTTGGTATCTGCTGCTATAATTAACTAGTACAACACCCGTGTATTATATGGGTACTTGTTAAAAATTATTCTTAAATTTTTAAATTAATGAGAAAACTATATTAAATTTAGTTCACTTTTTTACAAAAAAAAATATATTACTATATATTTTAGAATGATATGTGTTACTTATGACTTACATGTGTTATATTATATTAGTTTTTATAACTTATATCATATAACTACTTGAAATATAAATATATTAGTTGATAAATAATTTTATTTTTCTAACTAATATTAAAAATATTTTTATTATTGTTATAAATAAATATAAATTATTTTCTTTATACATACAATATGGATGTTAAATCGAAACTCATCAAAAGAAGATTAATTTAATATATTACATATGTAAATTAACTGATAAAAAATACAAAAGTTATTAACTTTTAAAATATATATACAATTCAATAGTTATAATAAAGAATGATATTAAAATACAATTATACATGTAACATGACCATAAATAATCAATATATTTATGGTAATCTGAACATAATTATTTCTGGTTTGGAATTAAATTAAAATTTACCCAAGCCTAATAACGAAGCATGTAATTTTGCCGCATAGGATTGCGAAGCACCAGAAGCAGCCACGTAGGCTAGCTCGTTCTAGATTAATATATAGGGGGGATTTGCATAGGGACAATACCTCTTTATATATTAATTCAAATCGTGTTGAGTCTAGTCCCTCTCTATATTAATTCAAAACGTGTTGAGTCTAGGTGGCACATTCTCACGCTTCGGATGCTGACATGGCGAAAATCTATGATTCGTGATGTTGTTTTTATATTATTTTTGCTCTGAAATTAGGTTTGGTATTAGACATAAATAACTTTATACATATATTCATTAACTCAACACTCATGTTGTACATGGGTATTAATACTAGTTAGAGTTTGTTTAATGATATATGGGGTGACTGGCATTGTCTTATTCTATATGATCCTTCAATATTATGCTAGTTCATTGGTTATACTATTTAAATTGTCATTTTAAGTATGTATATTTGTGAGGTAAGGTATGTTGGTCTAATTGCTATATATTTCTGTTGTTTGTTAAACAAAGTTTACATAGGGAAATACTACTGTCTCGTTACGGAACCATTCCGTCAGGGTTTGTAACTGTTAGATCAACTATTTTTGAATGTTACATTATGATCTAACGATTACAAACTCGACGGAATGGTTCCGTAACGAGACTGTAGCATCTCCCATATACATATTTATAAGGAAATTATGTCGGTCTAATGGCTATTATATTGAACTAACAAAAAAACTATACTCGTTTGGAAAGATAGATGTATAAGATAAAATTTGTGGTTTGAGTTTTGACATGATGATAATAATATTAGCAAAGCATAATTTGCTAATATAAAACTTATATTATTTACTTTTTAAAAATAAAAATAGTATTAAGATTTTTTTTTTTTCCAATTGATATAGTAATATCCCCTTGTGAATGTAAAGTGTTTCGATTTTATGTGTCGACTTTTGGTGCTTTGTAATTTTATATGTTGAATTATGGTGTTTCGTAATTCTATAGGTCGATTTTTATGCTTCAGAGTAGTCTATGTAGATCTGGAATTCTGGATATAATCCGTACCTATTAAGACTTTTTAAATCATAAAATATTTAACTAGTTTAAATTATAAACATAGTTAAAAGAATAACTTTTGTGTTTCTTATCAATTTTTATATATAATATATCAAATTAATTATGTTTTGACGAGCTTCGATTTGATATTCATATTGCATGTATAAAATAAATAAATAATTTTTAGTTTTTATTATAAAATAAATCATCTATTAATTCCAGTTAAAAATTAACAAAAACATATATATCAACTAAAAAATATATATAAATTAATTACACATGAATTAGAAAAAAATTATTACAATATAATATGGACAAATAAAAAAAATAAAAAGTCTCATTTTAACATATACTACTTCTTATTCTTTCTAAATACCATTTTGACATTATCAACTATTAACAAAATAAATGTCGTTTTGGATATTTTGTACATATTTTTTCATTATTACCCTCATTTAGTTAATAAATATACTACGTCTTTTCATATTCACTCTTTATCTTTTCTCAAAACATTTATCTCTATCCTTATTAATGAGGGTTATTATTGGCAAAAAAAATATTCTTAATAAATGTGCAACTTTTCAAAACGACACTTATTTTGAATAAGAGGGAGTACTATAATAATGCAATTTTTACAAGTAAAACTATAACTTTTTTCTTTTTTTTTTTTTGCTAGATCACTCTAACCATTAAAACAGCACAAACAATTGTGCAGTCAATAAATGCTAGTGTGAGCAAATTAGTTAGGGTTATATAAAAAAAAAAAAAAGTCGTTTTCTTGTTGTGTGCCAAGTTCCAACACGAGAATGAGGCTCATGTGACAACTCTCGATGTCAATTCCCGACATAAATAAATTAAAAACATACTAATTCTTATTTTTAATATATGTCATTTTGAAAAGCTGCACATTGATTAAGAATATTTTTTTTAATCAATAATAACCTTATTTAATGAAGATAGAGATGAATGTTTTGAGAAAAAATGAATAGTGAATATGAAAAGACGTGATGTATTTATTAGCTAAATAGAGTAATAATGGAAAAATATGTACAAAGATCCGAAACGACATTTATTTGATTAACAGTTGATAAAACCAAAATGACATTTAAAAAAAAAAAAATAAGAGGAAGTATATTATAGTGTCGAAATACTATAATTTAGGAATTTATAATATCTCAAATTGCAAATTTTTTCTTCCAAAAACTCTTCATACGTGACTAAATTTCAAATGCTTCTCGTATATATATTTTTTCTACTGAAATTGTATATTTAAAAATTATTCTCAAAATTATTTTCAAACATGTTGAAATTCCTTGTGGAATTTGAATGTTTTATTAGAATCTAATTGTTGAATGCACATGACACTACATACATTAGATCTGCTATCACTAGTAATAGACGGTTGACTTTTTTTTTTCTGTCACTCAATAGGCCTTCTGTGAAGACGCCTAGCTAATTTTTTTGGTGGTCACGGATTGTAAACGACGGGGCCTTAAAATAATTGCAGTTTGCCCAATAATATGTTAAAGGAATTTGACCGTAAAAATTCTTTGCTTATCTTTTTTATGGTAGTCAGCCACGGTATTCGGAGCGTTGTCCCAACTAATTCGTTGGTCGACCCGAGTCGCACACCTGGCAACCCAACAAGAGTTTTCTGCATTCACAAGGACTCGAACTCGAGACCTTTGTTGTTATGTGATTGTTAACAACGATGTAATCTATGATTAAGAACGTAATTTGGA